AGAAAGATAACATGATGTGGCAGCATATGTCAGGAACGAGGGATTTTCAGCGACCCTACTCTAGCGATTTTGGATATCGGCTATGATAGTCAAAATCCATTCTTGATTGGTCTCGTCTTTGCATCGCAAATTATCTGGAAATAGATAGGAGACAAGAACCGGATGGTTACATACAAGACTTGTTCTGAAAGTATGACCGCTTAGTCGATATCCCTTAGATTGCGAGGACCTAGTCATTTATGGACACGTGTAAACGTATTGCTAGACCGCCTGAAAACCGTAAGTACTAGAGATGATCCTCTCTCTAACGAAGGTGGAAGAGAATGAGTGGACAGATATATGCTCAACTGCAAATGGTCTTCCGGAAATCGTCCCGAAGACAAGGAGGTCGAAAGCTGAGTCTGAAACATAGACCAACGACAGACTCTTTCATAATAGAAAACCGATTAACAGCTGAGCCTGTCAGTGTAGAGGGAGCTGACAAGCGACTACAGTAGGTCTTCGATTTGCATATGAGATCATAACAGTCCACCGTCCACACTTCATGTAGGAGATTGAATCTGAGTGTCGTAATCTGCACTTGGAAGGAAAACTAACATCTCTGATAATATTATATTCAGATTATTTGGGTGTCCTAGCGGTCGTTTCACAGGGTGGATTGTAAACGGCAGGACAATGACCTGCATAGATGGAGTCGCCAAACGATTTGTCCTCTTTCCTGTGATGTCTAGATCATTAATAACCCAATCATCTATTTTACCATCCCTGCCTTACAACTGTCCCTGACTCTGAGTACCTGCCTGAAGAAAGTGCGTGCTGCCCCCATCCATAGCTGAACACATCAACGACAAGCTCTGGAGCTGTGAAGCTGTATATTCCAAAGTTCAAACCACGGAGAAGGCTTCAAATTCCATCAGAGATTCTCAACAAGCGGACAACTTTGAACTGAATAACAGATGGAGTCAACAAAAGGCTTTCTCACAGGACTAGCTAAGGGGTAAGGTATGCGAGGATTTAGTTCCTCGGCAGTGTCTGAAAGTGCCGTGCCTGCCCTAAGTGAAGGCGGGCCTGCAAATATGTGCCAATGCCTGTTTATAGGGCTATGAGACCAGGCTGAGGGGCCCAAGCAGAGCCTGTTGTAAACCCCATGTGGGTATGGATCTTCGACGAGGCCTTGTTGCGAGTTGGCTCCTTGGCATGCCCTGTAGGGCCCTATCAGCAAGCATGAGCCCGCCCTAAGTGAAGGTGGGCCCCCTGAATTTCAATATGGCCTGAGTTCGTCAAATTTGGTAAAGGTTGGTGGGCGGCAGACAGTTGCCATGTGCCAGTTGGTTACATCCTCCATACTCGTGAGAATCAGAAACAATTCCTGAGCCTTCTAGGCTCTTCCAGCAGCACAGGCGAAGCAGGGAGAACCTCACGTTGACTCCTGGGTGGTTGGGCAGGCTCAACCAATTCGGTCCCAGGCCACTGTCTGAATGGGCCTGGGCGCAGACACTCTGGCCGGATTGGAAGCTACTGG